TGTGTCTGTGTACGTGTGTGTGTGTGTGTGTGTGTGTACGTGTGTGTGTGTGTACGTGTGTGTGTGTACGTGTGTGTGTGTACGTGTGTGTGTGTACGTGTGTGTGTGTGTGTGTGTGTGTGTGTGTGTGTGTGTGTGTGTGTGTGTGTGTGTGTGTGTGTGTGTGTGTGTGTGTGTGTGTGTGTGTGTGTTGCATGACTGTGTGAAGGGGACATGTGCGTGTGCCTGTAAAACTTACAACGTTGAAGCCCGAGGATAGGCTTCAACGTTCTTTCTTTAAATCAGTCAATTAACGAAAGAACTTACAACTCACTCCCACGCTCCCCCAACACGCGATATGTCACGCACAGACACTCGCCCACGACAACAAATACGAAACGCCCATGGGAGAGATGGGGGCAAAAAGACAGGGACAAGAGGAGAATGAGAAAGGGTGAAGGGAGAATGAGAAAGGGTGAAGGGAGAATGAGACAGGGAGAAGGGGGGGATGAAAAAGAGAGAAGGGAGGAATGAGATAAGACGAGGGGATACGGAGTAAAGGAAATGGGGGAAATAAAGGAATGACGAATGGAATAGGATAGTCAGACAGGAAAGCAGAGGAAAATGGGAAAGGTACATAGGGGCACGGAAAAGAGTTAGGGAGAGAGGAAAAGGGGATATGAACAAGGAACTGAGAACGTAGGGGTGAAAAATCGACGACAGGAAACAGGGAAGCAAGGGAAAGGGAGAGAGGAAGAAGGGAATGCAGGATAAGAAGTATGAAAGCAGGGGAAAGAGAACAAAGGAGGAAGAGAACAGAAAACAAGGGATAGGGAAAGCAGAAGAAAAGGAGAAAGGAACAAACAACAAGGAAGTGGAAAACAGAGGGAAAATAAGCATGGATAAGAGACACCGTGCCGGGAAATTTTAAGCCGAGTTAAAACGAAACAGAAACAAGGTAACAGGCGATAAAGGAAAGGACAAGGTGTCAGGGAAAAGAGGCCAGGGAAACGGGCTGGCGGAAGGGAGTAGGACGCGCCGTGAGGACCACAGATCCACAAGGATTATCCTAAGAGTACTCGGTTACATCGGGCTATGGGTAGGGATGGATAGGGAAGAGGAGGGGGAGGGTCATTGGAAGGGGGGGGGGCAGTAGGGTTATCCGAGCAGAGGTGCGGGCGCTCTTCCCCCCTCCCCCCCTCCTCCCCTTCACCCTTCTAGCTCTACCTACACCCGTGATCTCCGCTGCCACCCTGGATATGTTACACTTGGGTAATCTGAATGAGAGAGCGAGAAAGGGAGAAAGAGAAAGAGTGAAATAAAGAGAGAAAAACAGAGAGAGAAAGAGAGAAATAAAGAGAGAAAGACAGAGAGAGAAAGAGTGAAACAAAGAGAAAACGAGAAAAAGAGAGAGAAAGCGAGAAAAAGATAGATAAAAATGAGAGAGAAAGAGAGAGAGAGAGAGAGAGAGAGAGAGAGAGAGAGAGAGAGAGAGAGAGAGAGAGAGAGAGAGAGCGAGAGAGAGAGAGAGAGAGAAAGCAGGATGAGAAAGATCAGGGGTAAGAACAAGAAGAAGAGAAGGCGGAGGAGGAAGAAGCAGGAGAAAAAGTAGAAGTAGAAGAAGAAGTAGTAGTAGTAGTAGTAGTAGTAGTGGTAGTAGTGGTAGTAGTGGTAGTAGTAGTAGTAGTAGTGGTAGTAGTGGTAGAAGTGATAGTGGTAGTAGTAGTAGTAGTAGTAGTAGTAGTAGTAGTAGTAGTAGTAGTAGTAGTAGTAGTAGTAGTAGTAGTAGTAGTAGTAAAAGAAGAAGAAGAAGGAATAGAAAAGGAAAAAGAAGAATATATAACCGAGATGGAAGAAGAAAGAAAGATAAAATGAGGAACACAAACAAAAGAGGATAGCAGGGTAGGAAGAGCCTAGCCTCGCTCGGCCGTAAGCGAATGGGCAAAGCAACAATAACACGGCGGGGCGGGCCAAAGGAGGTGACGAGAAAACCAGACAGAACAATGTCCACAAGAATGTACAGTAAATATAATAAACAGGAAGACCTTCAAGTCTGACGATAAAAGATAAGAAGAAGGCTGATGGTGATAACGATGGCGGGAGAGACGACGAAAAACAAACGAGCATCGCAAATCATTAGCGTTCGATAGCAAACGCAAAAATAAATATCTGGTACGAATAACACTAGTTTTACCAGAACGCTTGCAACTCATTCACGCAAAAACCTCGTTCCCTCAAGAAGTCGCTTTTCATAAATGCCGGGTTGCTTAATTTCGCATAAAAAAGGGCGCCTCAATTTCTGAATGAAAGAAATTGCAATTCTGTAAAATGTTGCGCTGATGTCAGATGGGCGTTTTTCTTTGTGTATTCGGTGTAATATTGTCGATAAATTTGTTGGCACATTTATGGTTCGTGGAAGGAGACAATATAATTCGCACACTTTCGTAAATCATTTAATATTACATGAATCATTATATTATAAGAAATATATGTATATGCGCATAAAATACATACATACATA